AACTAAAAGAGAAAAAAATAGGATAGCAAAAGAGTAGACACAAAGCTACATTAGAAACATAGACATTTGTTGCCATAAGCACCACAGTATATGAACATGTTCCATCTGCACATTGCAACATATTTTCATCTTTCAAGATGACAAATACAAGTCAGTTTTAATTTCAGATTCCAGGCTTCAAGGAAAATAGATGCCTCTAGTCTCAGAAAAAGCAGCTCTTCATCTATGCATATGTACATATATGTATACATGCACAGAGGTACTCAGACATAGCATTGACCCATTTGAGTAAAACAACAGCATCATAGAACAGACCTTACAGATAATCTAGTTCCAACCCCCCTGCTATGGGCAGGGACACCTTCCCCTAGACCGGGTTGCTCAGAGGTCCATCCAGCCTGGTCTTGAACACTTCAAGGGATGGGGCCTCCATAGCTTCTCTTGACAACCTGTTCCAGTGCCTCATCACCCCCACAGTAAAGATTTTTCTCCTAACAACTATTTTAAATCTCCAGTCTTTTAGTTTAAAACCATCCCCCCTTGTAGTGTCACTATCTGCCCATTTAAAAAGGTGCTCTCCCTTTTTTTATAAGCTCCCTTTAAGTACTGAAAGGCTGCAAGGAGTACTTGAAAATCATGTATCTATGTACTAATCTTTATATTAAATCTAATGTTATATATGTATATATTTAAGAGCCTGAAACAAAATTTGGCATTTATAAACATTCAAATGATTTCTTAACATACTTATTTACAAAAGTTGGTATTTTAATCATCATGATGTCAATATCATTTTGTAGCTATTCATATTCTATCTAAAACTAAATACTACTAGGCAAATTGCATGTAAAGTTTAGGTGAGGCACATTAATTGTGGCCAAAAGTTTTCTCTCCTATTTTTCTTAAGTCACTGTTTTCACCACTGACATAAAAATTTACAAACATGTTATTCTGCAGCACTATAAGTCCAAAACACCTTTAACGTTTCCATATTACATGTAAAGACTGCCTTCTCAGGATTCACATGTGCTATGAATTCTGCTTTACGCTAGCAGAAGCACTTTCAAGAATTAATGTATAATGAAAATAGCCTACACAAGAATACAGGTTCCACTCCATCACTGAGTGACTCCTCCGTGTGCCAAGTCAGTGCCAGGCAGCTGCAGACAGAGCTGGAGACATTGGTAAGAGGTGAGCTCTGTGTGACAGCCAGCACTGTCACCTGCCTTGTTAACAGGTGACCTGGTGCTGGGCAGAATCCAAAAATACCAAAGCACATGAGTGAGCATATCAGCTGCAGTAAGGAAGAAGGATCAAGGATTTCCCAGTATATCTACATGAGGAAAAATTCCTCTACGGCAGATGGTGTTTGTAGAAATGGTGGCTTGACTGCCTAGTAAATTCCTGTCCACCCCAATCCAAAACAATAGGGTCCTCTGAGAGAATTCCAATGTTGCTGCTAACTGCACCTGTACTCAAAGAGCTATATTTCTGAAAGCATTTAACATGAGTTATTTGGGGTTATTTTAGATTTTTTTCTGGCTCCTTTTTTTTTAGAACTATTTTCCCCTCCTCCCATCTCTTGCCTATTACAAAAAGCATTAACTGAACTTATGATGAGACCAAGCACACTGGAATCTCAAATACTATTTATCCAATGAATAAGTATATTTATCACAAAAAATTAATGTATCCTTTTATTTCGTCCTAAACAGATTTTAGGTTCAGATTTTACTCAAATCAGTAGGAGGTGAAGAAGGTAGATTACTACACAAGTGAGGTCGCCCATAAAACATGATAGTAAAAATGTTGATACATTAAGTAACTTGAATCCAAATATATGAAGCAGGTATATTTTGAGTATGTCAGTACTTACATTAGACACATAAATTTGACTTCTGTATACTTAGAGTCAATGCAGCTTGTAAAAAAACAGGTGGTCTGTTCTGGTTTGTACAGTGTGCTCAGCACTACTGTCAGTGTCCTCCTAACCAGGACATCATAAATAAGAAGGCCAGGCCTGGTTGCATTTAAAATCCAGCCTCAAACTGTATTGCACACAGGAAAAAATGAAGGTGAATGTAACCTCCATTTTTGCTTTGAAATTGTGAAAATATAACCTGGAATCACTGAGTCAGCACAAACAGCAGGCCATGATACCATCTTCTCAAGGTTGAACTACATTTTCAGTGACATTTAAAAGGAAAGGGTTCTTTCAACTTCTTCTTCAGCAGAGGGCAACAGGACACATGTGGCATCACTTGAAAGGCAACTGAAACTTGTGACAACAAGCCTACCTTCAGTGCAATTCACTCTTTAGAGCTCTGACACAAGGTATGCATGTGACAGATAGGGCAACCTTTCTCTCAGCTGCAGAACAGTCTGCCAAGCACAGACATGTCATTACCTAAAGTGAAGGGCTATCTGACATAAGATGGCCACCTTCCCTTTCTTCCTTCAAGCTCTTTATAAGTTTATATCTGAGCAAAGAATAACCTAAGACTTCTAGGGAAAAAAAAATTAAATTCATTCCTTGTCAGTCTATAACTTGCTCAGGACATTTGACATAGTTACCGTGTGTGGTAAATTCAACTTTATGGGGGTAGTGGACCTCACAGTTATTCTCAAGTTTTCACTTTCTTCCACAGGCTCAAGCTTATCTGTTAACACAAATGAATCTGTGACCTATTATCTTATGAAAGCCTTGACCACCCGAGTGACTCTGTAAAAAGCCCTCACCTATGATGATAGGGATTATACTCGCCCTGAATTTACCCTTCTTTCTCTCCATATCCCCAGTTGCCCTAATCCTATTTTACATCTTAAATGCCCCTGGGAGGAATGTCCAACTGTCAGCTTCCTTATTGCTCTACTGCAGTGCATGTTGCCTGTATCTCAACTAACTGCATCAGAGCCATCAACCAAGGGTGACCACAGCACATATATTCCACTACTGCCAATACTTTCCTTAGCCTATCACATTTACTTCAAATAAATTTCCATTTCCTTCCTGTTCAATGACAAACTGAACGTGGATAAAATGTTCTGCATTAGAGTGTCAAATAATAGTGCTTTCCTTACTTGAACTTTTCTCAGGCAAATAGAGCAATAAAGGGTCAGCACAGCTTTGTTGGTCCCACTTGTGACATATGAACCAGCAGCTGGTCAACTTGCCAGCCATACTCTTTGGTTATGAAAATCACAGGCTACTAAACCTACCAGACAACTATTTTCCCTACAAATTGGTCACATCTATGTAGCAAGTTCTAGACGTACTTACAGGAGGAAAAATATTTGAATAATTCTATAAGACTAGAATATAGTGCAAACAGTAGCTAAGAGGTTTATTTTGGTTTCATTTATTGATTTATTTAATTTATGAAGCTACTATCACTGCATACATCACAGTATGAATAATATTTAAAATTAATTTCACCTTATAAACATTCTAGGAATAAACTATTTTTTCTCTCCTTCTCTGACTTCCAGGTTTAAATTTTAGTCCACCATTTTATCAATTTTCAGCTTTAAGGTTGTGAGTAATACTTTGATTTTTATACAATTGGATAACTGGATCCACAGCTGTCAGGACAATTATGGCCAAGACCTTTTTAGCCTGAACAAAGCTACAGAAATGTTTAAATAGAGTCTACTTAAATGAATAACCAATAAACTAATATTCCTGATAAAAATAACAAATCTCCAAGAAGTCAGGTATTGGAAAGGTTTTTATTGTCCATTAAGTGTTATGTCCAGAACTGTGAACTACTATGTAGGATACAGATTAAATACAGAAGCAGTAATTTCATGACATTACTATGTCCTAAATTTTCTCTAAAGCAATGCATATAAAGACATTTAAACATAATGAGCTACACACTTTACTTCAGAATCAAATACAGATATCAGTAAATTTAAGAGAGGTTACTTGTGTGAGGTAGAAGGGGCACATAGTGAAAACCAGAACCACGTGCTAGAGGTTACTCCCTTTTCAGCAAGCCAGTCCCTAAACCAATACCTTTGGTGCTCCAAATGAAGTCACAATATGGCCTTGCATCTGAAAATCCCGCATTTATATAACTAGATTCACCTAAGTTTCCAAGTCCAAGAACCTCTACCTCTGAACCACTGTTCTGGACCCGCTTGTCAGGTTACAGGAAACTAAGAAATGGTCTTCAGTTATTTGTGTATGCATGTCTGTCCTGGTCTTCAGTTGTTTGTGTACAGCACATCTATCCCCTAACATCTATCATCTCTCTTCATCAATTCAATAGAATGGTAGCTCAGTGAAAATACCACAAGAATTAGTATCAGTGTGGAGATGAACATTTTGAGCATCATAACTTAACTATGTAGATGATGGGACAGAGTGCAACCTCAGCAAATTTACAGATGGTGCAAAATCATGAGAAGTGTTTGAGAAACCAGAGGCTTGTGCTGCTGTTTAGATAGATCTCAAGAGACTGAAGAAATAGCCTGACAGAAACCTCATGAAGTTCAACAAGGGCTGGGGAGGAACAACCTCATGCACCAGTGTAGGCTGGGGTCTAGCCAGCTCAAAAGCACCTTTAGAGAGAAGGACGTAGGGGTCCTTTTGGGTAACGAGTAGCATATTAGCCGACACTACAACTTTGCAGTAAAAGGTGGCCGACAGCACCTCACAGCCAGTGAGCTGAGGGATGTGATCCTTCCCCTCTGCTCTACATGGGTGAGGCCACACGTGCTGCACAGTGGCCAGTTCTGGGCTCCCCAGGACATAAGACACACAGACATCCTGAAGTGAGTCCAGTGAAAGGCCACAAAGGTGACAATTAAACTTGAGTCTTTGCCATACAAGGAAAGGCTGAGAAAGCTGGGAAGACTTCAAGAAGAAGAGGCTTAGAGGAATCTTACCAACGTATATAAATACCTGACGGAAGGGAGCAAAGAAGAGAAAGCCAGGCCTCTCAGTGGTAGTGAGAGAAAAAGTGGCAATGAGCACAAATAAACATAGAAGAAAATCCACTTTAACATGAGGAAATTTTTTTTTTTACAGTTAGTTACTAGAACAGCTTAGTCAGAGAGGTTGTGGTGTCTCCATCTTCCAACCCCACTGGGCACAACCTTGAGCAACCTGATGAAAAGTACAAAATAAACAAATAAATTAACAAAAATGATAAAAGATCATTGTCTTCAAGGTTTACAAACAAATTTCTGGCCATGTACAAAAAGAGAAAGCATGAACTTTCTCTGTCGAGAAAGTAAAGCATGAACTTTAAGTGCAGCCCTCTGCACTTAACCACTGCAGCTGTTGTAGAAAAGCTGAGCTTACCTAGCTGGTTTCTTATTAGGCACAATACAAACTTGAAAATTAAAAAATTAGACACCAAGACTGCCTTGTCTTTTCTGTAGTTTTCACTATTTCTGCTTATTCCAGAGGCACTGAAAGCAAAAGCTGATGTGGATTTGCAAGGTGCTGGTGTCATTGTTAAACAACCTAACAGGATATCCTTTGACAGTCTTTGACTCTCAAGCCTTGGCCTGGTCCAGTTCTTGGTTCCCCAGCACATGTCCCTCAGCAGTGAAGAAGCTTGGTCCCCCATTACTCATTCGAGAAGTCTGCAAAGTTTGCAAATTCCCCCTGTCCTGTTTTCCCCCGGCTGAAGTTGAAGTGCTCTCTGTCCCAGCCAACACATGTATGTAGCTGTACATCATAAGCAGTTAATGCACAAAACTGCACTTCCCTTTAGAATACAGGGGGGTTACTGGCAGGTACAGCACTCTCTGACTGCCTAACAATGTATGGCTTCATTTTGATCTAGTCCTGAGGATGCATACACGGAAAAAAAAAAATGTCAAGTAAGTTATCTTTATAAACCTGCTCCCTTGCTGTTTGCTATCACAACTGGAGACCTAATTAAGGAGACTCTGTATGATTATTTTTTAAACTAAAAATATTTTGAAGACAACACAGACATATTTTCCAGAAGATAGAAAGTGATGTTCACATCTGCAAAAATAAAATACAAGCATAAACAAATCTTAAAAAAGAATCCGAATAGAACCCACTGTCCTGGAATTCATGTTCTTTTGAATTTCAGACCTCAAATGGATGATTGCCCCATCGTCTAATGGTCAGCTGGAAGAAATGAAGATTTGATTTAAAACTGAGAAGACATTCTGAAAATAAGAAATGGTTGCAACTCTCAAAAACCCTTGCCAGCACATATCAACTTAACTGGATCATAAGCAAGCATCGGAAATACCACTTCTATTTTCAGAACATCATGAATCCAGGATGAAAGCTGGGTTCCTCCCACATCTAAATTGCTCAGTAAATCTTATATTTCAAGAACAGTCTCATGAGAAATGTCAATTTTGTGCTAACTGCATTCTGCAAATATTTAAATTGAGAGATGTACAAAAAACAAATAAGGAAGATATCTTTTAAACTGAGGATGCATCTTGGCCAAGCAAGAAAAATATTTAAGCCATGATCTACAGGTTAACATTCAGTCCAGACTGAGTTGGGAAAAGATGTTTTTGCACACCCTTAAGATGTGTCAAAAATAAAACATTTCATATGAGTAAAATGCTTAATTATGAAGCTATGTGATACTACAAAATAATTACAGTTGGAACTTGGGGAAAAATTAATGGACAGATGGTCTCCACTTACTCTGAAAAGTAAAAAAAAAATAAAAAAAATATGATCATTCTAATCCCTGCACAGTAAACTATTTTTAAATTCCAGATTTTTGTGATGTATTAAAAAAATAACCTGTTCAAATCAGACAGACACGGAAAATGAAAATCTTGTCCAAATTTTCTGCAAATGTTGATTTCAGTTAAAATTATCATTGCCTGACACTTGTACTATTAGAAATCTTTTCTTTCATGAAAAGCGTGACACCAGCACTCTCATCAGAACAAGAGTTGCTGCCAAATAGCATCTTTTATATATGAGTTATGCCAGTATAGAAAATAAAAAATTTACAACTCTGAAACAAACTATCTTATCATTCAAAAGAATCAAAATATTCCATGACTGAGTTCTAAATCTCAGAACTGAATTAATACCTACCATGTCTTTAAAACTGCCTGATTTTTTATAGCTATGTTCTTCTAGTGCACTGAGCAGGACACAGGTAGACGATAGGATAAGGATCTCTTTTTTATTGTCTAGATTGGAGTCCAAATTGGAAAGGCTGCTTTCTCAGCTAGCTGGCCTGTGGATTAGAATTGAGTGGGTAGTTTCAGTTCAATATTTCTGCAGACAAAAATACTAATAATTAAAGATAGGCACCTTGTTTATTAGTCTTAGTTCAGTACAAGGCAGACCTAGAGATGATCTCTGTCTCTATAATAAGACATTCTAGCATATATTCTTGAAAATAAGCAAGCTAATCAAATAGTACCTGAATATTTAGAGCATTTTAGTCTTTCCTGTACTTAATATCCTCTTTATGAAGTCAATATATTTCTCTTGTTTCTGGATATTTGCGATGCATTAGGAGAAATCAGAGGCAATTACATAAGATACTATCTATGGAAAATTCTGAGTTTGTGACTGTATCAAATAACAAAGGCCCAACTCCGGGTGCTACACATGAAGTATTGCTGGTAGAAAGGCTTCTCTAAGAAGTCCAGATAAAGCCACTGAAGATGCAAACACTGACCTTCTCTCACTTGCAAAATATTGTCAAATCATCATGAGAGTGCATGCAGAGCTGTACTTAAATGTTTAATAATGACGATGGCAACACTGCAAGAAATAAAAGAATAAGGGTAGAATAAGTGGTTCCAGAGTTAACTTAATAGAAAAAAAAAGCTTCTTCTGCAGAGATGTATAGATACTAAATAATACAATTGGTTATTGAATGTTATTTTATTTTTAAAATATTTGAAGGCATTTTATAGCATAATCATTATGAGGAGGCCCAAGAAAATTTTGGCTAAAAAAACTCAAACTGCCTAATCAAGTGTAAAATAATACACATAGTCTGAAGGAATGTTTTTAAATGGAAACAGGGGAATATTTTTTGGATAACTTTACTTATAACCCAGTATTTCTTAAGCTGCACCTGAAAATGCTGTAACATATACATTAGCTGAAGCTATTTCATTATTTGCTCTACAGAACTCATGTCTCTCCTTTGGTGTCATTTCCTGGATTAAAAGATTAAGCTCTGAAATTTGTATTGGAAATAAATGCTTCAACAGGCGACTTTGGACAGGGCATGAATCTTGTACTTCCTTGTCAGCTAGAGAGAACAAACTCCTAGAAGTCTGTGGTAAATTAAAACTCTAAAGGTAAGATGCTAAACTCTGCCAGTGTTCAGAAGTGTTTCCTTAAAGCTAAGTAACGGTGAGATATATTATCGCTGTATGTCTTATACACGAAACTCACAAAATTGGCACTTAAAAGAAACTACATGCTGTTTTACAAAGGCAAAAGGCCATCCACTGAACAGTCAACAGCAAGCACACACTGAAGTCTCAGAGCTGTTTTCTCCTGCTCCTACCTCTGAATACATATACTTTTAAATTATTTATTGTGAGTACCATATAACTTAATCAGGCTAATCACCATCAAATATCTCAAAGTGCTGTGATGCTCCATTGTTCTTTCCTTATGAACACATTCACCAGGAAAAATGAAAGTGATTGCAGGTAGAGTTCCCAGCCATGTGAACTACATGCAAGCACAAATACTTTAATTTTCACATTGTGTTTGTGCTAGAGCTATAACATTGACACTTGCATCATCTACATGCTCACAGTTTCTTAACTATTTTGGACAATTTCACATGAAAGTAAGAATGGTACCTCACCCTGTTAAATTGACAAAATTGTGATGCTATTTTTTTGATGATGGACAAAAGAATTCAATTGAAAAAGGAGAACAAAAAGTCCTGGCTTTATTATAAATGACTGTAACAACTGTCAATGTCAAATACAGCATTACTTACCAGACTTGGCAAAGATATGCAAATCTTTGTATTTACTGTTTGAGGGGATCATCCACCCTATCAGCAGCCTTCCAGAGAAGTCCCCAGACCCTTTCATCTCTAGATTTTATACTGTGTGGTAATCCAAGCCATATGTCTCCTACCTACTTCTCCTCAGCTGAACTCCTGAACAGAGCAGTCAAGTAAGGAGAGCCTGCTTAGGTCTGTGACTCCTTCACAACTGATTCTTCAGTGTAACTCAGTCAACCAGTGAATAGTACTACAGGTTGTAGGAATTGTTGAACTCACTGACGTGTCTCTTTGTTGAGCCTCGTATAGAAAGTATGGTCTCCTGATACTATGTCTAATGATTAAAAAAAAATGGGAGCTGAGCCCCTCTCCCCTCAGAACTGAACACTATCACAAACATTTTGAACATCCTGCACACCTGCTGGCACATTAAAAGATACAGAAACAGATTTGTCTCAACTAAAAAGTAGTCTTAGCACTTCTCTGATTTGAATGTGAGTGTCTAATATATTATACAGTCCAAACTGTTTAACAGTTTGAATAATGAAAAGGAGAAGATTGTGGGTTTTTAATAGAAACAAAAATTTAATACAGGAAACCCTACATTCAGTTAATAGGTTAATTTATTCCAGGATCCTATAAAAAGAGTGGTGAATTATTTACAACAGATAGCCAATCTGTAAGCAACATCTTACAAAGCATGTGAAGGTCAGTTACAGTAATTCTGATAGTGGTTCATTTGTTTATGATCTCAAATGCTGATTCCAAAACCCTGCTGTCTAAACAAATTTCAAAAAAGTTCAAGGTTAATCACTCACACAATTTACCCTTAGAAAATGTTAACACTCACAATGAAGTTTAAACCATACAGTCCAATCAGTAACTTATATTTAAGCCTGTATCATGGTAAGACACTTTAATAATTGTAAACATACCAACCGCATGTATACTTAGCATGTAATATTTTACAAAATACAACTTCAACAAAATCTACATCCCAACTCCATGTACATGCAAACCAAATTATTGGTACAACTCAACGAAGAACTCTTGAGTTCTCATCTTCTTGCCTCATCAGGTTCTTAGACTATGTAGCTACTTTGTTCACATCACTTGCAGCCTAATTATTAGACTATATCTTGGTTCAAACTGCAAATTGCTTTAGAAAACTCCAGCCAAAAAAAGAAAGTATACTGTTCTAAGCATAAATTTGAAAGAAAATCATGCCTGAATAACAGCCATGGAAGCTGAAATTCTGTTGTGGGGTTCTACAACAAGAGCCAGGATAAACAACTGCAGACTGAGATGTCTGTGCTTTCCTCACACTGAGAAGACAGATCAAAACTAGATGAAAGAATTTTGGAAATGTTTTAAAATTTTTGCTTTAGCCTACCTTATTATTCTTCCGCTTGCTGAAATTATTGGTGGGTCTATTTTTTCTTTGCATTGACCAAGAGCTTTTCCCAAATGTCAGTCAATAAAAATTTACCAAGAATGGGTATTATCAAATTAATTTAATTGCCTCCCTAGATCTAAAGTTTCACTTTTTTAAAGTAATGGTAGATACAGTTTACACTATGCTATTTTGATTAATATTTTCAGTCAAAAAGTAGGACTGCTTAGAATCAAAGCACATGTAGAGAAATGACTGATATCTTCAGTAGCAAATGAGGACAGCTGTGGAACAGCTAACACTGTTTTCATTGATGAGCTGGAATGAAGTATTACACGATTTTATAAAGCTTGCTGATGACTGGAATTGGCAAAATTGTTAGATGTGAAGAGAACAAGCAGAAAGACTGATTGTGATTACTTTCCTAAGTATAAATGTGTTTTATTACAGCCAAAAGAAGAGTAATTCATTAAACAACAAGGAATTCTGGTCTTCTCTGAAAAATGGAGAGTGTATCTCAGAAAAAAAGTAAAACACGATTTTAGGTGTCATGGCTAAATATCTAGCTAGTTGAGAGTCATCTGCTGTGGCAGAAAGAGCAAATATAAAAACTTTGGATGTAAAAAGAGCATAAAAATAATGGAGAAAATTCTATTTAAGTAAAAGCCTTTCAGAAACATTCTTGATATTCAAATATTGCTTACAGACATCAAATTCAAAAGGAGTCGTTGAAAGAACTGGAGAAGAAATGAAGAATACTACAAATTAAACTGATGAACATACCTCTGTATGACCTGTATAGGTCTTAGTTTGATCAGTAAATCAAGAAGATTGAGAGGTTGTCTGATTACAATATATATGAAACTTTCTCCCAGACAAGGCACTAGGGTTTTCTTCTAGTACAAAAAGCAGAATGGGAGAGCATTACAATAGCAAACTCTTCTTTTGAAAATATCTGACATAAATATTCAAGGGCACTAATAGACTCTCCATCCCTTAATGCCTGTAAAACAAGAGTTTACATTTCTCTGAAAATTATGGTGAAGTAAACACACCTTGCTGAAATACATACAGGCTGACTGAAACTAAATGACTTAAGTGAGAGGTCAGATCTGAACACCTAAAGGGTCGTTTTTGTCCTTGAGACTTTTAAAGACTGCACCCAATCACACCTGCGTAACAGGAAAAATAGTCTATCCGTGCACAGAACTAAGTGATTATGCTGGAAATCAGAAAACCAAGGGCAAAAGTTATATATTGTTTTAGACGTTGATATGTAGTAAGTAGATTCTTGAACTCCAATAGCATCCATAATGTGCAGATGACCATGGCCTAGACTTCACATTCAACTTGTTTCCTGCATCTCCTCTACTTACCCCATCAGAACTCTACTCCACTTGAAAAAAAACAAAACTCTGTCTTTAGGATCAACTAAGTGCATAAGAAAGGCAATTAATGTGTACAGCATAGTGCACAATTGCTCTATGAATGCAAAAACGAGCTAGACCAACTTTATAAAAAAGGTCAGTTTCTGCTTTATAAAGTATCAAGATAATGTGATGATGGGTGAGGGAGGAGGAAAGAGGTAAGAAAAAAGAAAAAGGGGTGCCATGAAGTGCCCTTTCTTATGTCACGTAGGCTGTCTTCCAGTTCTATGAGACTGTCTTCCAGTTCTCATTATAACCTTCTCTGTAACCATCAGAGAATGCTTTCAGTTTTATTCAGTGACCATGGCAGAGTATAAGGACACATTCTAACTTTTGCAGCCCCCTCACAAACACAGCAGATATCTGATCCAACAACTAGGTGAACTGAAAATTACTTTGGACCTTAGCAACCATCTTCTCTTAACTCTCCACAAAAAGTCTTACACAAAGAACAATGCATATGTTGGACTCCTTACAGTCTCCTATGTATTTGTGTAAGAGGTTTAGACTACTTACATCAAGTTTTCTTAATTCTCAGCTAGATAAAGAATGAATAAATGTTTTCAACTGTCATAGGTAAACATGAATTAATAGGAAATGAGGAAATAATGATAAAATAAGGTGCTGAAATTCATAGATACAGATAGGGTGTTTATTTTTATTTCTGATTTCACTTAAATCATTATTACAATCACAAACACATACGTTTGCTCTTCCATGTAGCTCATGAAATTGGCTGGATGATTACAAAGACATAAAGATGAAGTGCACTACAACGGATTAGTCTAACACTTGATTGGTTTCAGATAGCTGCAGGGCTTTGACAGCTGATACTTGGCAGATGTGCTTCCATTTTAATACTGTTTATCTCCAAGTGATCTACTTCAAGGCATTTGGTCTTTTATTTGGAAAGTGTGATTGTCTTCTGTAGGATCAGGCTAACCCTATGTAACTA